CGAAGCAAGACGGTAGCGGGGACAGAAGTAAATGCGCAAGGCTTATCCCTCTAGATCTTAGCCCCTAATTAAGTAATTTAGTATAAAAGGATTAAAGGCCCTGTTACACGGTGCAATTTTCAGTCTTGCAATTTGCAATGCAATTCTACTTTTCTTCACTAATTTATTGCAAGTCGCAAGAAAAATTGCACCGTGTAACAACCTAGAACCCACAGGTGTATAAGTGTTTGACATAAGCTGACAAGGGCCGTAAAAATGAGGACTCTGGGGTCCGCTGCCCCCCTCCCACTTTTCTGAAAAGATAAAGATGTGCCCCCTTTTTCAGCAATGATGCCCTTCTTTGAGTTATTAAATGTACTCCTCTTAGAGCAAGTAATTAAAAGTGCCTTATAATTATATTGTAAAAAGAAATGAAACAGAAGTACTTGATCTCAACAGAGATTTGTAAACAAAACTAAACAAAACTACTTTACTATCACTGTCTTCACATGCGTATATGGTACTGAGTATTTGGTAAATTTCGGTACATGTGAATTTCGGTACTATAGCGATTCAATTCGCGATTCGACCCGTGCATAAGCATTTTATGCATGACAGTAAAGTTTGTTTGAACCCACAAATGATTTTTATTACCAATATTTACGCTCTACAAATATGGATAGCAATATTTAGATTTACAACTAGAGCACAATCACCACAATTTGAAACATTGTGACGTTGAAGTCTTGCGATGTAATTACAGAAAAGGTCTATTACGTCACCACTTTTTAACATCACAACGTTTTAAATTTAGAACCGTCTTAAATGAAATAGATTTCAAGTTTTACTCTTTCTTCAAACCATCCTTCCTTAACACATGCATGAAAAATATTTTTTGTATTTTTTTGTAAAAATATTTTCACCAATAAGCCATAACAAGAGAACGAGGCTGAAGGGCCAAGACCGCGAGCCTCGTCCCGCGTTATGGCTTATTTCTATACTTATTAGTCAAAATGATAAATCATTTCTCATGCACGGGTTATAGAAGGGTGTTTTGTATCTTTGAACATAGCTTGTAAGAGTAAAAATTGAAATCCACTGATCTCATTTAAGGTGGTTCTAAAATTAAAACGATAATATTGTGGCGTAATTACCGAAAAGGTCTGTTATTCTATTTGTTTTGTTATATGCGTCACAATTTAGTTTTTAACAACTATTTGATATGTAAATTCTGCTATTGAATAAATTAAAATTAAACGCCTGAGCAGGCGTCTTGTTCAGTTTCTTTTTCTCGGTTCTTTGATCTTTCTATATATAATCTATCTTAACATGTAACACAAATATATGAAGATGATTGAAAGTCACACATTATGGTGTCCACTGGCACTCCATAAACGAAAAAGCACGTATAATACGCAGTTATATATGATAATAAACAATTATTGGATGAAGTTTTTGTGATATGCAGAGTTATCAAGGTCGAGGTAAGCGTTATCGAGATAACGCTTACCGAGACTTTGATAACTCTGCATATCACAAAAACCGAATTCAATAATTGTTTTATTATACATTTGAAGAATAGTAAACATAATATTAACGAATGAAAAACCTTATTTAATAGCAACATCCAAAAATACATCAATTATTAATACATAAATACATTCAAATGAATACCGCTTGTTAACAACCGCAGGCTCACTTGCAGATAACTAGCAGATAACTGAATTTTGCGTGATTGCGCCATTTATCTGTCAACTATAGGCAATCAAATTACTTTTACTTCTATGATGTATAATAATATTAATAGTGTCAAATCATTTTGTGCACTTTAGAATATAAATACTTAAGGACATAGCGAACATTCCAGAAATATGGGATATTACACGGTTGCGAGTAGATATGGATTTTACGTTCGAGTGGCAAAAACAATATCGTTATAAAGATATTGTTTTTGACACGAGAACATAAAATCCATATCCTCGAGCGAACTGTGTAAAGTTCTGTTTATTGTATGGACTAAATTTAGAGTGAAAAAAGTACACACAAACACGACAAGTAAATAGGCCTCGAAAGACCATTATAAAAGCGAATATTTTTTAAATTATAGCCTAAACTGATTAAAGTAGAATAAATTTTGCTTACCTAAAAATGTCTTTTAAATGTTTTCGTTTGCATATCCAAGGTAATATCGTTTTATATACGAACCAAAGATAATTTGCATTAGTTCTCAGTAAAATACCCCATCCATATAATAATAGACATTATTTTTTTCCTTGCAGTCCGAATTCATATCTTAGCGTTTCCTGCAATCTGATTGGCTACGCGAGCGGTCCGCATGAGGCCGTACGGACCGCGCGAGATTTGAAAGCACAGAGCCAACGCTAAAATATGAATTCGGACCGCAAGAAAAAAAATAAATCTGTTATTTACCAGTTTAGTCGGTCCGTATAGGGAATTATTATATACACAAGCGCCACTGGATATGAGGTATGCTGCAATCTCATTGGTTGGCTACTAGACAGATATTAGCTCATATCTGTCTAGTAGAGAAAGTAAACAAAATGGCCGAAAGATTTGGGGAGTTGAGTGAATAGAAATCCAAGCTTTGGTTGATAATAGCACACCAAAATGCACCGAAAGAGCGACAAAGTTTGTGTATATAATAAAACAGTTATTCTGCTCACTCTCGTCGTATATGGCCGATAGCCAACTCAGCGCTAGGGGCCTCGTCGGCTATCAGCTCATATACGACTCGAGTTCGCAGAATAACTGTTAAATATTTCCCTTCGTCTCAAAACGTCCCTCGGCTTTCGGCCTCGGGCTTTTTTTGAAACCTTGGTAAATAACATATATTTATTACTGATATTACATTTATACGATAGCTATTTATATGCATGAGTTATTATTGTTGCGCAGCATGTTGCGAACGGAAACACGTGTTTCGTGTTCTATCATAACATGTTCAGCGGTCTGGCAGTTTTTATAGGGTTGTCCAGCTGTTTCGTCCAGCTGTTTCGTTCAATGACCATTTTGGGCGGTACACGCATAGAGTCGACAGATCATCAAAGTGGGCTGCAACTTTCAAGCAACGACGACAGGACTCCATATTGTACTTAAACTTATACCAAAAGCAAAGGTTGGTACAATTAAGAAAAATGTTATTTCTATTATAGTATATGCTCGCGATTGGTAGAACTTCATCGACATTCCTGAAACCGTGGTTATATAGTACAAATCCCACAGAGGACTATAAATCCTTCGTTTTTGCTTAGAATTTCTACTTGAGTTGTTCTCAGATTCATACGGCTATAACTAAGATATATGAAATAAAAAGCTCACTCATTCAAGATAACATTGAAATTCCGCAAACCGTTATCAATAAATGAAAACGATTCCATATGTACCCTTGCATGGACTTCAACTTTTGGGCATGGTGGAAAACGCGGGTAGCCGACTACGGATTACGGACTACGGCAAGAAACACAAAAATACCACCGAAACGTTTTTTTTCGTTTGTGCGCATTGCGATTTTTTCGCAGGCACATCCCCCTTAATCTTTTCCCAGTGTCTATATGATTTTTTTTTTTATTCCACATTTCATATTGTGTTTACGAAACATTTTTTTAAAAAAATAGTCTCCAAAATATAATTTAGAATATAAAACTTACGAACATAACGAACATTCCAGAACGAATATTACCCCTGCGATATCTATTTATATATGAGTTATTAGTGCCGAATTGTATTCAATGTTGAATCTTAGACACTGCATGTGGTCATTGAATACACTCACTAATTGATCCCAATCCTTCTGCGAACACTAACCAGCTAGCCGATTAACACTATCATACCCCAGTCATTTAATATGGAGACGGTAGTATAATAATTGTCTCACTCTTCAAGTGAGGTGGCTGCTACCCAAATTTCTTTTTACTCGGCAAAACTTGTCTCGAGATATTATAACAAGTTAACAAGGTCTGGCGGTTTCTAGGAATGTCGAACTGTGTCGTTCACGATTCAATGACGCATATTAAATTACAGATCGATCATAAAGTGGAGCTACAACTTTCAAGCAACGACGACCGGACTCCATATTGCACTTAAATTTATACCAAAGGCGAAGGTTGGTACAATTAAAGAAAAATATTATTCTATTATAGTATATGCTCGCGATTGGTACAACTTCATCGACATTCCTGAAACCGTGGTTATATAGTTCAAATCCCACAGAGGACTATAAATCCTTCGTTTTTGCTTAGAATTTCTACTTGAGTTGTTCTCAGATTCATACGGCTATAACTAAGAGATATGAAATAAAAAGCTCACTCATTCAAGATAACATTGAAATTCCGCAAGCCGTTGTCAATAAATGAAAACGATTCCATATGTACCCTTGCATGGACTTCAACTTTTGGGCATGGTGGAAAACGCGGGTAGCGGACTACGGATTACGGACTACGGCAAGAAACACAAAAATACCACCGAAACGTTTTTTTTCGTTTGTGCGCATTGCGATTTTTCGCAGGCACATCCCCCTTAATCTTTTCCCAGTGTCTATATGATTTTTTTTTATTCCACATTTCATATTGTGTTTACGAAACATTTTTTAAAAAAATAGTCTCCAAAATATAATTTAGAATATAAAACTTACGAACATAACGAACATTCCAGAACGAATATTACCCCTGCGATATCTATTTATATATCAGTTATTAGTGCCGAATTGTATTCAATGTTGAATCTTAGACACTGCATGTGTCTGAATACACTCACTAATTGATCCCAATCCTTCTGCGAACACTAAAGCTAGCCGATTAACACTATCATACCCCCATTTAATATGGAGACGGTAGTATAATAATTGTCTCACTCTTCAAGTGAGGTGGCTGCTACCCAAATTTCTTTTTACTCGGCAAAACTTGTCTCGAGATATAACAAGTTAACAAGGTCTGGCGTTTCTCGAACTGGGTCGTTCACGATTCAATGACGCATATTAAATTACAGATCGATCATAAAGTGGAGCTACAACTTTCAAGCAACGACGACAGGACTCCATATTGCACTTAAATTTATACCAAAGGCGAAGGTTGGTACGATTAAGAAAAATATTATTTCTATTATAGTATATGCTCGCGATTGGTACAACTTCATCGACATTCCTGAAACCGTGGTTATATAGTTCAAATCCCACAGAGGACTATAAATCCTTCGTTTTTGCTTAGAATTTCTACTTGAGTTGTTCTCAGATTCATACGGCTATAACTAAGAGATATGAAATAAAAAGCTCACTCATTCAAGATAACATTGAAATTCCGCAAGCCGTTATCAATAAATGAAAACGATTCCATATGTACCCTTGCATGGACTTCAACTTTTGGGCATGGTGGAAAACGCGGGTAGCGGACTACGGATTAAGGACTACGGCAAGAAACACAAAAATACCACCGAAACGTTTTTTTTCGTTTGTGCGCATTGCGATTTTTTCGCAGGCACATCCCCCTTAATCTTTTCCCAGTGTCTATATGATTTTTTTTTTATTCCACATTTCATATTGTGTTTACGAAACATTTTTTTAAAAAAATAGTCTCCAAAATATAATTTAGAATATAAAACTTACGAACATAACGAACATTCCAGAACGAATATTACCCCTGCGATATCTATTTATATATGAGTTATTAGTGCCGAATTGTATTCAATGTTGAATCTTAGACACTGCATGTGGTCATTGAATACACTCACTAATTGATCCCAATCCTTCTGCGAACACTAACCAGCTAGCCGATTAACACTATCATACCCCAGTCATTTAATATGGAGACGGTAGTATAATAATTGTCTCACTCTTCAAGTGAGGTGGCTGCTACCCAAATTTCTTTTTACTCGGCAAAACTTGTCTCGAGATATTATAACAAGTTAACAAGGTCTGGCGGTTTCTAGGAATGTCGAACTGTGTCGTTCACGATTCAATGACGCATATGAAATTACAGATCGATCATAAAGTGAAGCTACAACTTTCAAGCAACGACGACAGGACTCCATATTGCACTTAAATTTATACCAAAGGCGAAGGTTGGTACAATTAAGAAAAATATTATTTCTATTATAGTATATGCTCGCGATTGGTACAACTTCATCGACATTCCTGAAACCGTGGTTATATAGTTCAAATCCCACAGAGGACTATAAATCCTTCGTTTTTGCTTAGAATTTCTACTTGAGTTGTTCTCAGATTCATACGGCTATAACTAAGAGATATGAAATAAAAAGCTAACTCATTCAAGATAACATTGAAATTCCGCAAGCCGTTATCAATAAATGAAAACGATTCCATATGTACCCTTGCATGGACTTCAACTTTTGGGCATAGTGGAAAACGCGGGTAGCGGACTACGGATTACGGACTACGGCAAGAAACACAAAAATACCACCGAAACGTTTTTTTTCGTTTGTGCGCATTGCGATTTTTTCGCAGGCACATCCCCCTTAATCTTTTCCCAGTGTCTATATGATTTTTTTTTTATTCCACTTTTCATATTGTGTTTACGAAACATTTTTTTAAAAAAAGTCTCCAAAATATAATTTAGAATATAAAACTTACGAACATAACGAACATTCCAGAACGAATATTACCCCTGCGATATCTATTTATATATGAGTTATTAGTGCCGAATTGTATTCAATGTTGAACTTAGACACTGCATGTGGTCATTGAATACACTCACTAATTGATCCCAATCCTTCTGCGAACACTAACCAGCTAGCCGATTAACACTATCATACCCCAGTCATTTAATATGGAGACGGTAGTATAATAATTGTCTCACTCTTCAAGTGAGGTGGCTGCTACCCAAATTTCTTTTTACTCGGCAAAACTTGTCTCGAGATATTATAACAAGTTAACAAGGTCTGGCGGTTTCTAGGAATGTCGAACTGTGTCGTTCACGATTCAATGACGCATATGAAATTACAGATCGATCATAAAGTGAAGCTACAACTTTCAAGCAACGACGACAGGACTCCATATTGCACTTAAATTTATACCAAAGGCGAAGGTTGGTACAATTAAGAAAAATATTATTTCTATTATAGTATATGCTCGCGATTGGTACAACTTCATTGACATTCCTGAAACCGTGGTTGTATAGTTCAAATCGCACAGAGGACTATAAATCCTTCGTTTTTGCTTAGAATTTCTACTTGAGTTGTTCTCAGATTCATACGGCTATAACTAAGATATATGAAATAAAAAGCTCACTCATTCAAGATAACATTGAAATTCCGCAAGCCGTTATCAATAAATGAAAACGATTCCATATGTACCCTTGCATGGACTTCAACTTTTGGGCATGGTGGAAAACGCGGGTAGCCGACTACGGATTACGGACTACGGCAACAAACACAAAAATACCACCAAAACATTTCTTTCGTTTGTGCGCATTGCGATTTTTTCGCAGGCACATCCCCCTTAATCTATTTCCAGTGTCTATATGATTTTTGTTTGATTCCACATTCCATATTGTGTTTACGAAACATTTTTTTAAAAAAATAGTCTCCAAAATGTAATTTAGAATATAAAACTTACGAACATAACGAACATTCCAGGACGAATATTACCCCTGCGATATCTATTTATATATGAGTTATTAGTGCCGAATTGTGAACTTTCATTCAATGTTGAATCTTAGACACTGCATGTGGTCATTGAATGCACAATTCTTTAACATTAAAACTTGATCCCAATCCTTCCGCGAACACTAACCAGCTAGCCGATTAACACTATCATACCCCAGTCATTTAACATGGAGACGGTAGTAATAATTGTCTCACTCTTCAAGTGAGGTGGCTGCTACCCAAATTTCCTTTTACTCGGCAAAACTTGTCTCGAGATATTATAACAAGTTAACAAGGTCTGGCGGTTTCTAGGAATGTCGAACTGTGTCGTTCACGATTCAATGCGGACGCATATTAAATTACAGATCGATCATAAAGTGAAGCTACAACTTTCAAGCAACGACGACAGGACTCCATATTGCACTTAAATTTATACCAAAGGCGAAGGTTGGTACAATTAAGAAAAATATTATTTCTATTATAGTATATGCTCGCGATTGGTACAACTTCATTGACATTCCTGAAACCGTGGTTATATAGTTCAAATCCCACAGAGGACTATAAATCCTTCGTTTTTGCTTAGAATTTCTACTTGAGTTGTTCTCAGATTCATACGGCTATAACTAAGATATATGAAATAAAAAGCTCACTCATTCAAGATAACATTGAAATTCCGCAAGCCGTTATCAATAAATGAAAACGATTCCATATGTACCCTTGCATGGACTTCAACTTTTGGGCATGGTGGAAAACGCGGGTAGCGGACTACGGATTACGGACTACGGCAAGAAACACAAAAATACCACCGAAACGTTTTTTTTCGTTTGTGCGCATTGCGATTTTTTCGCAGGCACATCCCCCTTAATCTTTTCCCAGTGTCTATATGATTTTTTTTTATTCCACATTTCATATTGTGTTTACGAAACATTTTTTTAAAAAAATAGTCTCCAAAATATAATTTAGAATATAAAACTTACGAACATAACGAACATTCCAGAACGAATATTACCCCTGCGATATCTATTTATATATGAGTTATTAGTGCCGAATTGTATTCAATGTTGAATCTTAGACACTGCATGTGGTCATTGAATACACTCACTAATTGATCCCAATCCTTCTGCGAACACTAACCAGCTAGCCGATTAACACTATCATACCCCAGTCATTTAATATGGAGACGGTAGTATAATAATTGTCTCACTCTTCAAGTGAGGTGGCTGCTACCCAAATTTCTTTTTACTCGGCAAAACTTGTCTCGAGATATTATAACAAGTTAACAAGGTCTGGCGGTTTCTAGGAATGTCGAACTGTGTCGTTCACGATTCAATGACGTATATGAAATTACAGATCGATCATAAAGTGAAGCTACAACTTTCAAGCAACGACGACAGGACTCCATATTGCACTTAAATTTATACCAAAGGCGAAGGTTGGTACAATTAAGAAAAATATTATTTCTATTATAGTATATGCTCGCGATTGGTACAACTTCATTGACATTCCTGAAACCGTGGTTATATAGTTCAAATCCCACAGAGGACTATAAATCCTTCGTTTTTGCTTAGAATTTCTACTTGAGTTGTTCTCAGATTCATACGGCTATAACTAAGATATATGAAATAAAAAGCTCACTCATTCAAGATAACATTGAAATTCCGCAAGCCGTTATCAATAAATGAAAACGATTCCATATGTACCCTTGCATGGACTTCAACTTTTGGGCATGGTGGAAAACGCGGGTAGCCGACTACGGATTACGGACTACGGCAACAAACACAAAAATACCACCAAACATTTTTTTTGTGCGCATTGCGATTTTTTCGCAGGCACATCCCCCTTAATCTTTTCCAGTGTCTATATGATTTTTGTTTGATTCCACATTCATATTGTGTTTACGAAACATTTTTTTAAAAAAATAGTCTCCAAAATGTAATTTAGAATATAAAACTTACGAACATAACGAACATTCCAGGACGAATATTACCCCTGCGATATCTATTTATATATGAGTTATTAGTGCCGAATTGTGAACTTTCATTCAATGTTGAATCTTAGACACTGCATGTGGTCATTGAATGCACAATTCTTTAACATTAAAACTTGATCCCAATCCTTCCGCGAACACTAACCAGCTAGCCGATTAACACTATCATACCCCAGTCATTTAACATGGAGACGGTAGTAATAATTGTCTCACTCTTCAAGTGAGGTGGCTGCTACCCAAATTTCCTTTTACTCGGCAAAACTTGTCTCGAGATATTATAACAAGTTAACAAGGTCTGGCGGTTTCTAGGAATGTCGAACTGTGTCGTTCACGATTCAATGCGGACGCATATTAAATTACAGATCGATCATAAAGTGAAGCTACAACTTTCAAGCAACGACGACAGGACTCCATATTGCACTTAAATTTATACCAAAGGCGAAGGTTGGTACAATTAAGAAAAATATTATTTCTATTATAGTATATGTTCGCGATTGGTACAACTCCATTGACATTCCTGAAACCGTGGTTATATATATAGTTCAAATCCTGCAGAGGACTATAAATCCTTCGTTTCTGCTTAAAATTTCTACTTAAGTTGTTCTCAGATACATACGGCTATAACTAAGAGATATGAAATAAAAAGCTCACTCATACAAGATAACATTGAAATTCCGCAAGCCGTTATCAATAAATGAAAACGATTCCATATGTACCCTTGCATGGACTTCAACTTTTGGGCATGGTGGAAAACGCGGGTAGCGGACTACGGATTACGGACTACGGCAAGAAACACAAAAATACCACCGAAACGTTTTTTTTCGTTTGTGCGCATTGCGATTTTTTCGCAGGCACATCCCCCTTAATCTTTTCCCAGTGTCTATATGATTTTTTTTATTCCACATTTCATATTGTGTTTACGAAACATTTTTTAAAAAAATAGTCTCCAAAATGTAATTTAGAATATAAAACTTACGAACATAACGAACATTCCAGAACGAATATTACCCCTGCGATATCTATTTATATATGAGTTATTAGTGCCGAATTGTATTCAATGTTGAATCTTAGACACTGCATGTGGTCATTGAATACACTCACTAATTGATCCCAATCCTTCTGCGAACACTAACCAGCTAGCCGATTAACACTATCATACCCCAGTCATTTAATATGGAGACGGTAGTATAATGTCTCACTCTTCAAGTGAGGTGGCTGCTACCCAAATTTCTTTTTACTCGGCAAAACTTGTCTCGAGATATTATAACAAGTTAACAAGGTCTGGCGGTTTCTAGGAATGTCGAACTTTGTCGTTAACGATTCAATGACGCATATTAATTTACAGATTGATCATAAAGTGAAGCTACAATTTTCAAGCAAGGACGACAGGACTCCATATTGCACTTAAATTTATACCAAAGGCGAAGGTTGGTACAATTAAGAAAAATATTATTTCTATTATAGTATATGCTCGCGATTGGTACAACTTCATTGACATTCCTGAAACCGTGGTTATATAGTTCAAATCCCACAGAGGACTATAAATCCTTCGTTTTTGCTTAGAATTTCTACTTGAGTTGTTCTCAGATTCATACGGCTATAACTAAGATATATGAAATAAAAAGCTCACTCATTCAAGATAACATTGAAATTCCGCAAGCCGTTATCAATAAATGAAAACGATTCCATATGTACCCTTGCATGGACTTCAACTTTTGGGCATGGTGGAAAACGCGGGTAGCCGACTACGGATTACGGACTACGGCAACAAACACAAAAATACCACCAAAACATTTTTTTTCGTTTGTGCGCATTGCGATTTTTTCGCAGGCACATCCCCCTTAATCTTTTTCCAGTGTTTATATGATTTTTGTTTGATTCCACATTCCATATTGTGTTTACGAAACATTTTTTTAAAAAAATAGTCTCCAAAATGTAATTTAGAATATAAAACTTACGAACATAACGAACATTCCAGAACGAATATTACCCCTGCGATATCTATTTATATATGAGTTATTAGTGCCGAATTGTGAACTTTCATTCAATGTTGAATCTTAGACACTGCATGTGGTCATTGAATACACAATTCTTTAACATCAAAACTTGATCCCAATCCTTCTGCGAACACTAACCAGCTAGCCGATTAACACTATCATATCCCAGTCATTTAACATGGAGATGGTAGTAATAATTGTCTCACTCTTCAAGTGAGATGGCTGCTACCCAAATTTCGTTATACTTGGCAGAACTTGTCTCGAGATATTATAACAAGTTAACAAGGTCTGGCGGTTTTTAGGAATGTCCAACTGTGTCGTTCACGATTCAATGACGCATATTGTATATACATTACAGATCGATCATAAAGTGAAGCTACAATTTTCAAGCAACGACGACAGGACTCCATATTGCACTTAAATTTATACCAAAGGAAAAGGTTGGTACGATTAAGAAAAATACTATTCATATTATAGTATATGCCCGCGATTGGTACAACTTCATTGACATTAAGTAATTTAGCTTGTAGGTACACCACGTAAATATTTAATAATGCAAAGCTTTGTTCGGTCCGTTAACCCGGGCCTTCACCAGGGCAATTACCTTAATACACATTCACACGTCACTTAAATATCACGTTAGTCGTGATTTGTTAGCTCACGCCATTAATTAAACGGTTTACTTATGAAAAAGAAAAAGTTCTAATTAATGCGCGTGTCCTAGACAAGTATTCAGCAAGCAGACATTGAAAAGAGCACGCCACGTATTATTGCGTGGCTTACCCTCTTGGGCGATAGTTTGATGTTTATAAATTTCAATAGATTCTCTCATTTTACGAGACCCGGTATACTTACTCGCTAAAATGCTTGCATCTTTCCATTTAATGCGATGATTATAAATCCACGCATGGTGAGCTACAGCAGACTTATCCAGTTTACCTTTCTCGCAGTTCGTCTTATGTTCTTTTAGACGTTTGAGAGATTTCTACCGGTCTCTCCAATGTAAACCAAACCACACTCACATGAAATGCGGTACACACCAGGTTTCTGAAGTTCATCGACGCCAACCTTGTGCGTGTAAAGAGCACAATACCAACAGGGTAAGCCACTCAATAATACGTGGCGTGTTCTTTTCAATGTCTGCTAGCTAAATACTTGTCTAGAACACGCGCATTAATTAGAACTATTTCTTTTTCATAAGTGAAACCGTTTAATTAATGGCGTGAGCTAACAAATCACGACTAACGTGATACCTAAGTAACGTGTGAATGTGTATTCAGGTAATTGCACTGATGAAGGCACGGGTTAACGGACCGAAAGCTTTGCATTATTAAATACTTACGTGGTGTACCTACAAGCTAAATTACTAATCGATTGTCACCATGCAAACATTCAAGAATATTATTCATTGACATTCTTGAAACCGTAGTTATCATGATAGTTCAAATCCCGAAGAGGACTCTGAATTCTTCGTTTTTGCTTAGAATTTCTACTTGAGTTTTTCTTAGATTCATACGGCTATAGCTAAGAGATATGAAAAAAAGCTCACTCATACAAGATAACATTGAAATTCTACAAGCCGTTTTCGATCAAGGAAAACGGTTGCAAAATATGTACAAAACACAGGTAGCGGGCTACGGATTACAGACTACGGCAAAAAACACAAAAACATCACCAAAATATAGCTTGAGTTGAGAAAAATACTATAAGCTTAATCGCTAGTGTTACAATCCGGAAATTAATAAATATTTCTATTAACTTGAAACCGCAGTGCAGCTGTCAAATTTATATCAAATTAAAAGGTGACGACAACCGGAAAGGTGATGAACTCGTCTTTGGAATTTCGTTATTTTCTTCGTTATTTTTTATCCTGTCGTCTTTTAACCGTTATAATTCTAGAAGTTACTATCGCAAGGAACGTGCTGCCGTGGAAACTGGAAGCTAATTTGATTCTCATAAGTTAGTACGTTGGGGAACATGACCGTCATTGTATGGCGTTGTCATTGGTAGAATTAGTGACGCATACAGTCACATCAAAGAATATTAGATATCTGAGAGATAAGTTAGATAGATAAATTTTTTATGAGTAACGTCATGACATCAGCGTATGTCTATTTTACTGTGTGATCTATATAACACAATACACGGGGTTTTTTTATATTCAAGAAAAATTCTTGTATTATAAAATTCTTTTAACAATATCATTAACATATTTTCACAATAAGTAGTATTTTTTTTCTATCAGAAGTCCGCCTTTGAGAACTTATGTCAAATATCATTTTACTGAAGAAAGTTAAAGTTACACATACAACTTAGCATCAAGTGTGGTATAACAACTGCCTAAAATAGACAAAACACTTCTCGACGTTTCGTACATTTGATACATTAATTAAATTAGTTAACATGACACATCACATGACACATCACATATGGCATCACATCACATTACATTTATTTACTGACCTAAGATTGCGCATCACAGACATCACAACACATCACAATACAATAGAGAATTCTACTTACTACGTACATCAACAATTAACACTGAATGTATGTATATTGTGCAAAGTGCTACTAAATACCGCCCGGGAGTGCCCGAGAGCAGCTGAGAGCGCCCGAGAGCAGCTGACTGTTAAAAACATCTTAAATATCATGTTCCACATAGCTTCCTGCGGGGGCGGCCCTTCAGCAGTTTTCGTTGCCGGGGCTGGTTGAAAATCACTTTAAACATTGTTTTTGTCGAAAAAAAGAGTTAAAAATCTTCAAAAGGGGTCACACATAGATTTATTCACCCTTGCGTACTCTCCTGGTGCTCTCGGGCACTCCCGGGCGGTATTTAGTAAGACCGTTTTGAATATGCCTTCGCGTGGCTGTTGTTGAATACATCAACCACGCAAACAAATATATTTATATTTCTTCACAAGGCTGTTGAATATTTAAGGCTGTTGAATATACCTTCGTATGGCTTTTGAATTACTTGAATACTTAGCGATACGGCTGTTGCATATTTCACCTTAAGGCTGTTGAATCTGCCTTCGTATGGCTGTTGAATACTTAGCGATACGGCTGCTGAATATTTAGCATAACATCACCACACAAACGAATATATTTAAATGCCTTCACACGGCTGTTGAATATGCCTTCGTATGGCTTTTGAATACTTATCACCACACAAATAAATATATTTATATGCCTTCACGCGGCTGTTGAATCTGCCTTCCTATGGCTGTTGAATATGCCTTCGTTTGGTTTTTGAATACTTATCACCACAAAAATGAATATATTTAAATGCCTTCACACGGCTGTTGAATATGCCTTTGTATTGCTGTTGAATACTTAGCAATATGGCTGTTAAAAACTGCTTCCCAGGCTGCGTACACAATAAAAAGTCTGACGCCCCCCTCATTTTACAAACTTAAATTCTTAATGAGCTCTCTGGAAATGGACAGACATATCCCAAAGCAGAAAGCAGATCGAGGTTTATGCAGTGAACTCTAAAAAGACTGGAACGATAACTTGGCCGCCATTTTTGAAGCCAGCACTGATGGCCGCCATGAAGGCCAAGGGTTGAAATTACACTACCAAAAAAACGCCGGCTTTTATACACAAATCCATCTCATCTGATCATGAATAAAAGCTTAAAACAAGGATTGACACTTAGATTTTACTAAAAAACAAGTTTTATGAACGTGAAAAGGTGCACACCTATTTCTTTTGCGAGTTGAAGGCGAAGTTTTTTTCCGGCCTGTTCAAATTCTTTAAATATTTCAAGTACAAAGCTGGTACCTCGCCGGTTTTTACAGTAAGATGATGCGGATTACTTAGGTCTATCCAAAAAGGGTAAATTCGTTGTTTAAAGTTGAAGTGGTCAAATAAAAATTGCACTTTTCTGGCAATTTTTTGCCAAAAAATACGATTTTTACGGAATTCTCACTCAGGCTTGATTTGCTCGCGCGGCTCCCGCCTTAATCAGCAAATTATATTCAAATCGGCTTCATCCAATGACTAGTCTTTATTGTTGAGTTATCGTTCCAGTCTTATTAGAGTTCGTTGGGTTTATGTCGACAATACATAACTTGGCCGGGGACTGGGCACGAGAAAGTAAGAACGTCATAAAGCGTCAAGAATCATAGAGATTATAAATAACACTAGAGGAGGTATTGGTATCAAAAACATCAGTCGACAAAGGGAGCGTTATAATGGGGGCAAATTCAAGTCCCGGATGCTAAGTCAGGCGCTGATTGGCTAGATCAATGCCTCCTTAGCAACCACATTAGCAACAACTAAAATTTGCATTAAAAAAAATTATATTCGTTTTTTAGGTCGCTTTGCCGGTTTTTAAGGAAAAACAGTGCTTTTTGGAACTGGTTTTACTACCTTAAACTTCCTGAGATGATATTTTAGGGGGAAAAACATTTAGAGATAGAAAAAACCCCGTTAAAAACGACATATTTTGGCCTCGGACATCGTGAATGAGTGAACATCCGGGACTTGGATGCCCCCATTAGCATAGAAACCCAATAAATATTTTTGAAATAATAAGTAAATAGTCCAGTTACGTTGCGCGTTGTTTTAAAGAATCTATTTCTCTGAATCTACCTGATCTCGATACTGCATCGATATATTTTTCCACTATGTTTATGCCTGGTGTGAGTAATTTGTTGTAATTTGCAAAAAAACGTCAACAAGGAGCACTCACTTAAGTTAAGATATCGCTCCTTTCTTAGTAAATTTAATGAGATTTGAAAATACCTTAATACAGAACATCAAATTAAACTTTTAATAAACATTTTTCACTCAAAATACGGGGAAATAGCCCGGAAAATATATGAATGGCGGCCCATGACTGAAGTTCTTACTCCCGATATAATATATAGAAAGCTCCGTGGACGCAGGTACTTCGCTCATGCAAGTGTAAGCAGAGCGCATAGGTACTCTGGAAACGAGGTTCATTTATTTGTTATACATGTTTAAACGTCTTTCTCAGCAAAGTTGAGCAAACGAATAACCTCAGTTCTTTGCCTCTAGAGCAAGATAACTGACGCGGTTTTCATGTTTCTAAAAAATAGCAACTTTCCACCATTGGATTTGACTGGTCTTGGTAATACGTTAACTAGAAAAGACTCCTGGTCATTTCAAACGATAGAAATAATTTCCTAGGCTAGCTAATTTCCTGGAGATTTTCAGCAAAAGCATAATATTACACAACAATTTCATTTCATAAAACACTTTATAATCAACAAAGCCTATGTGGCTTTAAAATATAACAAACAAGCCTTCTCAAGCATTCCTATGCAGCGAACGATTAAATCTCTTACAAACAATATATTTACTGTGATTGTGATGTCATTTTTTGTAAAAGTTTATGGTCACATTTGCTCCGGCAAAAGCCCCAGTCGCAGAGTTAAATTTGAATTTCTAAAGAAAGGAATAATATATAATAACTTGAAATTTACATAGCGGGCAAAATCGTCAGGCTGGCTACGCCACTGAGAACTACGATTTTGCTACCCAAGATGAAGTTTTATACAACCGGTCCGAGGATGATGAAAAAACGCAACCAAGGTATCGAACTTATAATAAAGCACCTAACTTTACTGGGTTTTTCTTTACAGCAACACGTTAGCTCAAAGAAAAAGAAAAATGCCAATTCCGCTTTTTACTGAAGGCGAATATAAAAAAAGCTTGAAACATGTCCAGCCATCTTTCGAAAACGATGATAAACCACAAAGGTGCCCAAAAAGTAATGTTATTCCTCAAAACCATACGCATTCCAGATTTCCTCCAACCAAGGAATCGCATCCTATTACCATACCAACTCACAACCAGATTGCTCTGCACGAGAAGAAATTTTATTTCCCCCACTTTAATGTTAAATGCCACGCCTTTAATTGGCACAAGGAAGCGGAAACAGCATCCTTCCTCGCTGAGAATATAAAAAACCATTGCTTTGAGGAACCACATCACGACCATAAACATTACCATAAACACGAATACCACCATCAGGCAGGCGGTGAAAAAGACAACGAGGTTGGCTGCAAGGACATTTTTTGCCAAGGACCTGAAGAAGATCTCGAATTCGTGCTAGATGACGCCGAAGAGCTCAATTTCGTTGTTAAGGGCAACGACGGCGTGATTATCCACGAGACAGCGCTGCAGACGACGAAGGTTAGATTGCAGAATATTTGTTGTCACAAGGAAGCGCGTATCGTCCAGGAGGAGCTCGGCAAACTTCCAGGAATCAATACCATACGAGTTAATGTCCTAGGTCGTGTAGCATATATCTCTCACGATCCAGACAAAGTCAGACCCATCGATCTGGTGGAGTCATTGAACAAACGTCACCTTGGGACATCCATTGTGGAAGCAGGGGAAGAAAAAGAGATTAAACAAGGCTTCCCAAAAGAGTTGAAGATCCTCCTTGTAATTCTAGCAGTACAAGCCGTTCTGCTTAGTATTGCACTTGGAGCTATGTTTTCTCACAAGGCCTGGTATATGTGGGTAGCAATCGCTCAGATCTGTTTCGGGATGTTGCCGGTGTTGAAAAAATGCTATCACGCAGTCAGTCGGATGCAGATCGATTTGAATGTCCTCATTACTGTGGCGGTAATTGGTATCTTGGGTATTCGGCAGTGGATCGAAGGTGCGGCTGTGGTGTTCATCTTTATTCTGGCGAACCTTTTGCAGCAGTATTGCTTCTATCGTGTCCACAATACTATCTCAAGTCTCATGCTCGCTCAGCCATCCAAAGCAGTTATGGCGTGTACAGGAGAGCTAGTTGATGTTGAAGATGTTTCAATTGGTACGTATTGGTGACGAGGAACTGATGTCAGTTCTTTTTTTTAACAGTATGGTTTCACCGTTAAGTGATATTATATTTTTCTTAGTCATACATTTCATGCAAAATAATTAATAATTTTGTGATGGAAATGCTCGTTAATTAAATCAATCAATTAATTTGAAAAAAATTAGTTTGAGAGAATTAAAGTCTGAGTATCAACCACTTCCGTTTTGAATTTCATGATACATTATACCATTATACACTATCTCGTGTAGGTTCAATAATAGCGATCCGACAAGGTGAACTCATTCCTCTGGACGGGGTAGTGGTGAAAGGTAGCGCGTCTGTGGACGAGAGGAAACTTGATCTCCGGCGAGGCTGCACCGGTGGAAAAAACTTTGAAGTCCCAAGCGTACAGCGGCACAGTTATCCAACATGGCTACCTCGAGTTAGAGACAACCTCCTCGACTTCATCATCGACGATTTCAAAAATAGCTGCGTTGATTGAAGAAGCGCAACTAAATGTCTCACCGACCGAACAAATGATGAATCAATTCGCCAGCTATTATACTCCACTGGTTGTGCTTCTTGCTGCCATAGTCTTTCTCGTACCCTTTATATTACATCTTTCCGGCGCATACGCCGGAAGCATTGAAACGTGGGGGGAACGAGCGCTCATAGTGTTGGTCACAGCTTGTCCATGCGCCCTTCTAATGGCAACTCCAGTTCTTGTTATCTGTGGAATAAGTGGAGGCGCTCGACTTGGCACACTGATTAAAGGAGGCACGTTTTTAGAAGCTCTTTCTCAAATCAAATTTCTTGCATTTGATAAAACGGGAACTCTTACCGAAGGAAAATTCAAGGTTGGGGTGAATAAGATCATTATGTTTGAGACATTAATTTAGCGATTGCGTCATGCAGTCAGACGGTCGCCAGCGGATCTATTATAGATGTTATTAAAAGTTGCATTAGAATGCTCGAGGTCAGCCGCGTCCCCGGCGCGGGTTTTTTGTTTTAATAAAATGCGTAGTTTTTGTCTCGCGGAAGGACACGCGCGAAGCAACAGCGACGGAAGGCGGGCGCGTTGCCTGGTTAGGATAAGATGCATCAAATCTACGACGCGGACGTCAGAAGTAATATATACTACTCCAATTTTCACAGTTTCACAAAAGGGATGAAATTTATGGACTCTTTTTGATAAACGAAGTCAGAGCCGTATGTAAAACAAATTGATACTGTTTTTATAACACTAGTAGCAGTTTACATGTCACGTCCACGTCGTAGATTTGGTGCATTTTCAGGCGCACAATAGGGAGAAATAGGTAGCAGTTACACGATACCGAATTAGTAGCGTATCGGATTACTTTCCATATCAGATAGGCGTTGCAGTTACATGCGGATATAGTTATCTGGTGAAAATCACTCCGCTCTGAGGGTGACATGAAAAATGATCCAGTACATTTCTGTTTCCGTGTTACAGATCGTTCTAATCCGGTATATAATAGGTTTGGCGGAGAAACCTAGGACATTTTTTTTTAATTTTTGCTCCCCTTCGTTTTCCGCGTTTTGTTTGAATTTTTGAATGAATCCGGTTTCGTGTAATCAAGAGGCAAATCCAATACCATCATTACCATGCATATGTATATCGAATCAACGTAGATAATCCGATTCAAAAACTAATTTGGTATCGTGTCATGACTAGCCTTAGCATGAGGACGTGGACGTCAATGACGACATATAAAAAAAGCGAAAAAATGGCGTGGCATGCCCATATATAGGGCTACATTCCACTGTCGCGTTTTTACACATGTGTGTACGTACGTAAACACACACAAATATTAAGACGTTTTAAGTTGATGTAAATTTTATATTGGACGAACACATCAAATCATGAACAGAATCCAACCCTATGCATATTAAATCGTTGATTTCATAACTATCATTTACCGATTTAAATGATTTTAAACTTTTACGTGCGTATACGTAGCTACGTACAAAAAACACGACAGTGGAAAGCAATCCATAGAGGAATCACGCCATTTATTCGCCATTTTCACGTTTCACAAGACTTCACAGACTTCGTTTCACAAAGTTAATTTCTTCAACCATTGTTCTTGAACCTTCCACAGGTTTGTAAAAGGTTGCTAAATCTGCAAATCTCACTTTTCGACACATTTTCGGTGGTTCAAGCCGCCCGGATGTCGGTGCAAATCAGTAGGATCGATTAGTCATTGATAATTAAAAGTTCTTTTTGGTTGCCCGAAACAGGCTAAACATCCTTTTTTTTTATCCCGAGGTTGTTGACGTTGTGGCTGTAAATAAAGACGAAGAGCATGAGGTGATGCGGTGGGCGGCTGCGCTGGAGAGCAGGTCGAGTCATCCATTAGCGGCAGCCGTCGTAACAAAGTTCACAGGAGAGTGCATCGCCGACTTCGTGAATGATGTTGAAGCGATTCAACTGCCTAATGTCAGCAATTTTGGCACGATGGAAGGCCAAGGTATATCTGGAATTGTCGAAGGTCACATGATACACATTGGCAACCAGGCAATGCTGAATAAGCTGAAGGTGAAGCTAACTCCAGAGTTCGAAAACGAGTACGACCGGCTGTCCTGCGAGAGCAAAACCGTTGTGTTCGTCTGCGTTGACGATGAACTCGCGCTCATGATGTCATTGGCCGATATCATACGCGAAGAGTCCCATACCACTATCAGATGGCTTCAAGATCTGGGTGTGCATCTGGTTATGTTGACCGGTGACTCAAAGGAGACGGCAACAGCAGTACAGAAGCAACTCAAATTAGACTCGTGCATCTCCGAGATGAAACCAGATGAAAAGCTTAAATGGATCACGAATATTAAGGAGGAATTCGAACACACTGACAGCAAGCGTTGCCGTTGTGGAGGGGTGAGTTTTGGGAGTAACTAGGAAATAATAGTAATACAGATAACTACTTGTAAGGATAGGATAAAAGGAAGAGTTAAAATTTGAGCGTATCGATCGTAAAGGCGTTAAAAATCGGTAGGATAAGAAATATATTCGAAAGAATGTATAACAAAAACATTCGTTCAGATTTTAAACCGTTGGAAAATCTGTGCGCATTGTCTATATAATGGGAAGGGTGGAAGAAAAGAAGGTAAAGTTACAACAGTTATAAGCACTTAAAGCAAACTCAACGACATACACAAAGTATCCATGGCTATATGTCCCAGATAATGCCTAACGCAATGGTAAAAGGCAGCGTGCTATGACCCTATAATTAGGCCTGAATATTTGCGCAAGTTTATTTCCAACATATCATCCACTATAGTGCGCACGATTGCGGCTTCGAAATCCGTCACCTTCACAAATCGATCACGTCAAGAATTCACGCTATTTGCTTTTCAGCAAAAGATTCCGGTGGTCGGGATGGTCGGTGATGGCGTTAACGATGGGCCAGCCTTGGCAACAGCCGACGTGGGCATTGCTATGGCGGCAGGTGGGTCCGCATTGGCCGTGGAAGCCGCAGGGGTTGCCATCATGACCAACAGCGTGTTGAAAGTGCCTGAAATGATTTGTTTGAGTCGATTTTGCCGCCGTCTTATTATCGAGAACATCGTGCTGGCAATCTTTCTCAAACTTGTTTTCGTTCTGGTAGCGGTAATGGGTTACGTGCAGCTTTGGATGGCGGTGGTTGCTGATCTGGCTGGTCTTCTTCTGGTTATCCTCAACGGACTGAGACCCTTGTCATGGAAACCTCCGAGATCAGATGCAGCGGCGCAGCGGCAGGAGCGTAATAAACCGGCCAACGAATATAAGGGGACTCCGTGAAAAGGACAAACAGAGCTTGTCAGATCAAGAATACGTTGTAGATGCTCGAATCTGATTGAAAACTTTCTAGTTAGCTATTTTTAATGAGTAATTATATATCCTATAAAAGTATAGCCAAAATTGAATGACTTCAATCCTGATTTTCTATTAATTCCAAAGACACCTGCATGGGGCCAGTTGTTCTGAAAGCAACTTAGGTTATATAACCCTGGGTTAAAGCAAATCTTTACAACAATTTTCTTAGTTAAATGTCATAAATATTTACTGGACTGAAAAAAAGCCATATTTTGTAAGGAACAGCGGCTCAGAAGCACTTAAACCAAAACAGTGGATTGAAATTTAAAACCGTCGGTTTGTCTTAAACTGTTCATTTACTATATATTACAATAGTATATAATATTATACCATATATATTACAAAGTATAATAGAAAAAAATTGAACTTTAAAATTTTTGGGAGATTTTTATTAAAAACAGTAAACTAGGGAATAATTAATAAATTTCTCTTCACATAGATATATGTTGTACATGGTATTGCAAAGGTTTTATCTTTAAAATTCTCGTAGCAGATTGATAATACTGCATGTCCTGGGATTATGATTGAAAGAGCCCTTTTCTCTAACCGCACAAGTTCAGATTTTAAGTATTGTGATAAGAAGTAGTAATACGCCATTATTGAGTAGTCGATCATTGATTAAGTTGTGTGGAACAATACCAAGTCTTCTATTGGTAACTTTGCTCGCTTCAGTTGGATTAGAAAGTAAAGACGTTGACTAGCCTTTTTTATCACCTTTTCTACTTGAGGGTTCAAGGTTCAGTAAGAGTGACTCCGACTAGAAAGTCAGCTGTGTTAACTAACTCTATCTCTTTTCCGTCAATCATCACAGGGTCAAACTTCCGAGATTGGTTAGAAAAGGATATCCTTAATTCTTTACACTTGTCAGGGTTCAACTTGATTCTATTCACAGCCGACCAGGACATAACTTTATTTATTATATGTGTATAGAGATTTATGCACAGCAGAATGATGAAATAAAAATCGTATTTCACTGTGTAAGTTAATTTCATGCAATTTGATTGGACGTACGATGATTTTCACGTGTGAAAAAATGCCATACACGGCTTTTGATTGGACGTACGATATTCTTCATACGTGAAAAATTGTCGTATGTCATTTTGGCGGCAATTTGTTTACATTTTCTTTCAAGATAGCGTCGAAATATAGGAGTGAGATTCAAAATATAATTCTCATATTCAAGATATTTTTACATTCAGCACATTCTCAAATATTTCGAAAAGAATATCTAACTTCTATTGAAAAAAATTACAAAGAAACTGAACGGTAATAAATATGTTTTCATGCATAAAGTTTCGATTTTGTTGTTCGCTGTTTTTTTATTAAAAGCGTGTCGTTGTCAAATTGATCTCTATACACATTTAATAAACAAATTACTTCATGGATGGCTCGTTTGTACGATTTTTATTATGCAAACTCGCTCGTTCGCTGCGCTCACTCGTTCGTATTGCGATCCTTCACAACTCGTGCATAAAAATCGTACGTAGCTACTCGCCAACCATGAAGTAATCTCTATTTCGTATATCTGGGCGTTACTAGTGAAACCTTTGGGAACAATCTCTGCAGTTGTCGTATCATCGACATATTTCCAGATCCCGTTGTCTTTAATGACTAGATCGTTTATCATCAGGATAAAAGACTACGGTCTCAACTTGGTTCCTTGCGGAACGCCAAAAGGAACCATGCCCCATTCTGAGTAATAGCTAGCTACCAATTTATTAGTTAAAAAATCCATTATCCAATTTATCACACTGTTCGGGAGATCTAGGTTACACAACATGGCAATAAGTGTACTGTGGTCAATAAGGTCGAAGGCTTTTCGATAGCTTTTCGTCGAGTGAATCGTGGTTCTACCAGCTGCTGTGCGATGATTATCGCACCTGCAAAGATCTCGCAGAGTCATATAATGATTTTTTGGTCAGTTTAACATCTCATTTTACACCCTTGAGTAATGCTGATATGATTGAAGTAATTGACGTTCCACATTCATTTCTAGTTCCGTTTATTCATCATTGCAAGCCATAAAAACCTCTAAATCTTCGGATATCAGTTTGCTTCGGTGATATCCGATATCTATAATTCATCGATGGCGCAGGCTATTTTTCCGCAAGAGTTAAAGAGAGCACATATCCTTCCAATTCCGAAGACATGACCTCCTAGATCAATTGAAGATGACCTCAGACCCATTTCCCCGGCTAACTGCCGAAATAGAAAAACTAATGGAAAGCTTTACATTAAATTCCCTGTTTTTCAAAGTCGAAAACGAATTGGACAAGAAACAATTTGCTCTTCCTAAACAATCTACTACTGCCGCGCATTAGTGTAGCTACTTGCTCCATGATTTTCATAGTATTCTTGACAAAGGAAATTGTTCAGCTAGATTGCTTTTTGCTGATTTTAGAAAAGGCTTCGACCTCGTTGACCATAAGGTTATCATCGCTGAACTCACAAATGTAAACGTCCATCCAGTTATATTACGTTGGATTAAAGGCTTTTTAACAGACCCCGTTTACACTAGAACGAAAGTTTCTGGATTTGTAAAATTTTCCGGATTCATTGTTACACACATGTATCGAATTCGTCAGGTGTTTACACTACACTTTAGTTGTCTCTGTATGCGGATTTATCCGTTTACACTCACATTACTTGTTCTTGGAGAATTGTTTGGTCGTCATATTGAATTTCTTCGGATTCGTCGTGCAAAGCGTTTACACAAGAACATTTTACGGATTCAAATGTTTCTGGATACGAAGTTTCCACAAACTTTTACAGATTCAAAGTTTCCGGATACGGCTAAAAACCGAGTACATTTTCTATCGGATTCGTTGCTGCGTGTGTAAACAGCAACATGAATCCGGTACTAAAATATTCCGCTTTCGTGATTAATCCGGAAACTTTCGTTCTAGTGTAAACGGGGTCACAGAGAGCAATGTGTGAAGCTTGGTAGTGTAACGTCATCGTGGAAGAGAGTTAATGGTGGTCTCCCTCAAGGCACTAAACTTGGCCCTCTTCTCTTTGCAATTTTGGTTAGTTCCTTCCTCGAAGACTGGTCTGGTCGTATCAAATACGCGGATGATACCACGACTGTGGATATTATCCCCCGTTGCTCCACTGGCCTTTTATCATTGGTTATGAATGAAATTTCTGATCAGTATGCTGGAAAACGGGGAATGGAATTAAATAAAAAAAAATGTAAAAAGATGCTCGTGTCTTTCTTGAAGTTTGACTTACATTCTAATACTCCTCCGTTGAACGTTGCTGGAGCGGTTGTTGAAAGAGTATCCATGGCCACGTTTAAATTGCTTGTTGTAGTATTATCTGCCGACTTAGCGTGGGGTTCTCACGTCGATTATGTCCTTAAGAAGGCGAATTTTACGCCTTAAGGAAATTAAAGAGAGCAGGTGTTAGCCAGCAGGTTCTTATCCATGTATACGTTTCGTTTATTCGATCCAGGGTTGAATATGCATCGCCTGTTTCGTCAAATTTGTCTCAGGGCCTTTTCAATTTGGTAGAATCGATCCAGAAACGGGCCTTACGGATAATATACCCCCTTTTGTGCTATGAAGACGCGTTGAAGTTATCAGCCCTAGAACATTTACATATTAGAAGATCTAATAATTGTAAGGAATTCACTAAACGAATACGAACTCAGTCACGTAATAATCCACTTGAACAAAATTTCAGCAATTATTTTAATATTCCTAGTGATCACAATTATAACTTAATTTGACAATGTTCCTAAGATTTTTGCCTACACTGATCGTTGTAGAAGTTTTACCACCTTTAAATATTATTAGTTAGTTATCATATATCGTATTAATCGTAGTAATTTATACCGTGTAATTCAGTTTTTACTGCCAAACGGATTATTAATGCAATTATTATTATTATATTATTATTATAATTAAGTTCATGAAATATCAAAATTTAACATACCGGTACCTGTGCGTGCAGAGGGTTCAACCGAAAATCATACTCTCCTACAAACAAGTTTACAAGTTTATTAATATATATAATAACCAAATATTAATAACCAAATATTAACATAGTATACATATATTTTGATGGTGCTCAGCTAAAAAACCCCAAAGAGCTTGTAAAGCGCTAAACACCAAGGTGGCGTATTAATATTATTAATAATTACAGATCAAGGTTTTGGCATAGGCATAGCGCAAGACATAAAATTTAACGTATAAAATGAAAATTTAGAAATTTACTATATCTTAAATTACATGTTGTAATACCTTAATTAACTATTGTTTATGAGGAAGTTTCTGAGTTTAATTCGGAAGCAATTGAGTGAATGGGACTGGGTATAGAGTTACTGAGAGAATTCCAAAGAATTGAGCCACTATACTTGAGAGTTAGCTTTCTAGTAGTAGTTCCCACCTTCTTAATGTGAATCTTGGCAGCGTTACGAGTATCATAATGATGAATGTCTTTGTTGTAAGAAAAGTATTGGTTAAACTGAGGTGGTAAGGAAGAGGAGTGATTAAGGCATTTGAACATGAAGCATCAATTTGATATTGGTTAAGTTGGTATACATTTAGCAATTTAAACAAGGAAAATAGTGGTTTTGTATGATGCCTAAAGCCAGTGCCAGCAATAATTCGAACAGCTCGCTTTTGTAATTTAAGAATCCTATCAAGGTTCGTGTGATAACAGTTAGCCCAAACGATATTACAGTATTGGATATAAGGAAGAACTAGTGAACAATAAAGAACTCTTCTGGTGGAAACAGAGACGTACGATTTAATTTTGTTGATTAAGCCGATAGATTTAGCTATTTTCGTAGACACGTTGTCGATATGGACCTTCCAATCTAAGTGTTCATTTATATGAACTTCGAGAAAATTCATTGATGCAACTTGCTCAATCACCTGACCGTCAATATTTATATTTAGACTATTTCTACAATGGTTTGGGAGCTTGTTTCTGGCACAGAAGATGATGCATTTAGTTTTCTTTATATTCAAAGATAACTAGTTTGTTTTAAACCATATTAAGAGTTTTAAAAGCTCCTGATTATTCCTTTCCACCAATGTCTCTAAATCTTTGTCAGAAGAAAATATATTTGTGTCGTCCGCAAAGAGGATAAGATTTAGAGTACTAGTACAGTTTGATATATCATTAACATATATAAGAAATAACAAGGGGCCCAATATACTATCTTGGGGGACACCACAGTTGATAGGTCTGGGTGATGAAATGCAATCTTTAAATTTTACTCGTTGAGTCCTGTTTGTTAAATAGTCAGCAAACCATGACAATTGGACTCCTCTAATCCCATAATGTCTGAGTTTATTAACAAGAATATCATGGTCAAATGCTTTAGATAGGTCTACAAACAC